GCGCATGGACGTGGTCTCGCGTCTGCTAGTTCTCCGCCGGCCTCATGTACTTCCTGTTGGTGCCAAAGCCGGGGAGCCCCACTCCCTTCCCAGAGTGACCGGTGACGCCTGAGCAGGCCTCGGAAGCCTGGGCTCGTGAGCACCGTGGGACTCGGGTCCCTCCTGCTCCCTGGCCTGGGCCCCGAGGGAGGGGTGTCCCCACCCTGTGGGCTTGAGTCCGGGGCTCAGGGCCTTGGCTGTGGCCTGCTCCCGCTGCCGGGGATGTGGAAGCCTGACTGGCCCTCAGTAGCCCGTGTCCCTGGGCAGCCGCAGGGCTGTAAGCCCACCTTGGTGGCCACAGTCGGGGCTGGGAGGGGGGTCTCCCAAACCCAGGCGTGAATCCTGGCTCACACGGGGACGCAACTCAGCTCAGAAACTGCCACCAAGCTCACTCCCTCCTCAGAGCACCACTGCCACCCGTGTCACGGAGCACAGCATGACATTTCCAAGTGAGTGCTGGCACGCCCGCCGGCTCCGCCTCAGAGGGACGCGAAGCCCCCATCTCAATCCAGGAGGCCTGCACTCTCTCCCGGCCTCCCTTTACTCCAGGGACAAATCCTTCCCTCCTCCTGTCCCCCCCCAACCCACCAGCTACCCACCTTCTATCCACCCCCCCCCCCCCCCCCCCCCCCCCCGCCCACCCACCCTGCTATCCACCCGCCACCCACCCGCCTGGTGGCCAGTAGGTGCTCAACAATCCTAGTGAGGTAGCGAGGGACGGGCCCCTCAGGCCACCCGTCACAACTTTACGAAGGGGAAACGGCGTCAGCGAGAGCGCGAGGCTCCGGCTGAGGGGGCTCCTGAGCTTTCCTGTCCACTCACTCGGCCACTCTCCAGCTAATGCTCCGAGTGGGCCTAGGTGGCCCAGGTCCTCATGCCGGACAGTGGTGAGGCCGTCACCCTCATGGGACTTGAGAGGAAGCCAGGCGTCCACGGTCACCAACGTCAGCCATCGGGGGAAGAGCCCGCAGCCTGCCCGAGGGTCTTGGGCCGAGGGTGCGGGGAAGGGCCCCGGGCCAGGCGGGCCTAGAGAGGGGCGCAGGAGGGGAACCTGGCAGCGAGGCTGACCTCTCCCAAAGAACCCGGGGGTGAAGCCAAGCGAGGTCAAGAGCACAGGAACTGCTGTCACCTGCTGAGGACAGAGGGGAAGGCAGGGCCTCTGCTGGAGCCACAGAGGACGGCTCGGCAGACGTGGAGGAGAGGTGAGGGCAGGAGTGGACGGAGAGGAAGGCCGAGGTCCCCGCCTCTGCCCTCGCCTGGGAAACGGCGTCTCAGGGCCAAGCAGTGGGCCAGGCGGAGGCCAGGGACGGGGCACGCGCAGTGGGGCACGTGGAGGCTGAGGGACAGGGCACGTGCGGTGGGCCAGGAGGAGGCCGAGGGCAGCTCCGGCCGGTGAGAGGCGCTGCTTCCTCTCTGGCACTGAACACGGGCCCTGCCCCCAGGACCAGCCCCTGCCCAGCCTGCCCCACCCCTTACCTTCCACCAGGACCCCCAGCTGCCCACTGGCTGGGCGGGGACACCATCCACTGTGGCACCTGACCCCCTGCCTCCCGCCTCTCTGGCAGCTTGGCTTCCACGTCCAGTTGGCATTAATGGCTGTGCAGGGTCCAGGGGGCCCATGGACAGTCTTTCTGGAAGCCCACAGGGCGCCCGGCTGGAGTCACAACAGGACACCCAGGCCCGAGCACCTGCCTCCGGCTGCCCCATCCCCCCACACCAGAGGGCACACCCTGGACCCCTGCAAGGTGGACACTGTGCGCTTCCCCTCAGGGCCACAGCGAGAGTCCTCCCTGAGCTGACCTCGGGGTCCGCGGGAAGAAAAGTCGTCAGGAGGAGCTTTCTACGGACGGGTGGGGCACCCGGTCTCCCAATACCAGCTGAACTCCCAGGGGCCACCGAGCTTTGTGCTGGGGTCCTCGTCCTGGCTTTGTGTGGCCTTGGGCTCAGCCCCTCTCAGACGGGGTGGAGGACACACCTCCAAGGCCTCCCGTCCTGGGGAATCTCGGCCTTGGCAGGAGGAGCCCTGCGTTTGCAGGACCCGCTGTGCTTGTGGCTCTTCCCTGGACGGTGCCGGATCGGCGGACGGTGGCAGAGGAAGGCGCGGTGGCTCTCCACGGGCACGTGGACGGGAAATGTGCTCAAATGTGGCCGTGAGGTCCGGATCCCATCTATCCACGAGAAGCTGTGCACTCTTGGGCACGCAGCTGAGCTCCTCTGGGCTCTAGTTCCCCGTCTGTAAAGTGGACACCCCGCCTGCCCCTATTTGATGGCTCACTGAGGACCTGATGCCGCGAGCGGCGGAGCTGAGGTCACTGCTCACCTGGAGACGCCTGCTGCCCAGGGCCTGGGCCTTGCCCCTTCTCACCCAGCCCCCCAGGAAGGGGTGGGGCGGCCGAGCGCTGTGCCCTGGGACTGTGAGCTACTGTTCCTGGTGAGTGCGGCCTCCAGACGCTGGAATGCACTCCGTCAGGCTGGACCCCGGCAGGCTGGAATTTAAAAATGTGTTTCCCCTTTTGGAGGGAGGGAGAGAGGGAGGGAGGGAGGGAGAGAGAGAGAGAGAGAGAGAGGCGCTAAGTGTTTCTGGCCTGTGAAAGGAACACAGTTTCAGAGCCAGGACACAGAAACCGCATGTGCTTGCACAACGCAATGAAAACACAGGCCACCAAGCCCGTCCTCTGCAGCCTGCATGGGCTCCAGCTGGCTGCCCAGGTGGGCAAGGGGTGCCCTGCAGAGCCAGCCTGGTGGGCGGGCAGCTGCACAGTTGTGGGGAGTCTGGGAGCAGGGAACCTTGGGAATTCCACGACAGCTGGGGTGTGAAGCGTCTCTCTCTGCACTCAGGTCAACACCCACCCACCGCCCATGAGCAGTCCCACCCCTGGGTGTCCACCCCGCAGACAGGCATTGTGTTTTCAGCAGAGGATACCCCAGAATGTTCAGGAAAACACTCCATGTTGACTCAAACAGAAACCACCCAGAGCCCCCAGCCCAAGTTATGGCATATCCATCAAAGGACTACTGCACAGCAATGAAAAAGAACTGAGTGCAGCCGACCCCACACGAGGAAGAGGCCGGGGCAGCTCAGCGGGGAGCACGCCCACTTCCGCTCGCGGAGCCTGAGGTGCTGTGGGAGCAGAGCAAGCCAGGCACAGACGGCCACGTATTGGACTGTGCTGCCCCCAACTGCCCAGCTCCGCAGAGCTAGGGGCAGAAGGAGTGGAGCTGGGGTTGGGGGCGATGGGGGTGGGGCGAGGCTGAGGGTCTAAAATGACTGGGGGGGGGGGGGGCTGAGGCCGGCGGGCCACGTCCCAGGGACGTCCCGGCAGGCTGCGAAGGATCGAGGCGACCCCGGAGCCTGGGGTCTGGCTGTGAGGCGGCCCTGGCTCAGGCCTCGGGCACCCAGGGGGCTTCTGAGGCTGGCACGCTCTCCCGGGGGCTGGTCCCAGCTGTGCTGGGTGGTGTGAGCCGCACACTGTCACGAGGCCCACTTTGGTAAGGGTCTCCCCAGCTCAGCAGCCCAGGGCAGGGCTAGACGCCCGCATTGGGCCCACCGCATGTCCCCATCAGCGAGAGCAGCAGAGCAGAGAAGGCCGGGCAGGCGGCGGGCAGCGGGTTGGACCAGGCCGCCTGACTCCCGGGAACAGCTGCAAACAATCAGGGGCTGCTGCCTCCCTCCCAGCCCCCGAGAGCCAGCGCGGAGACCTGCAGCAGCCCACTGAGAGCCCTGGGGGACCTGGGCCAGGGGGGCGGCGGCCGTGGAGCCTAGCACAGCTCAGAGGTGGCCAGCAAGCCCTGACCATTGGCCCCGTTGGCAGGGCCCAGTCAGGTACAAGGACCGGGCAGGGGCAGGGAGGCTGGCCTGCAGGCCAGCAGCTCAGCACACAGCTGGCGGGTGAGAGGGCGCCCTGCCAGACTCTGGGTCTGACTCCAACTCTGACACCTCTGAGCTCTGCAGCCTCGGGGACCTGGGTCCACTGCCCAGGCCCGGTGCCCTTCTCGGAGAAGTGTACAGCAAGGTGCCTGGTTTTAGGTGTTCTAGGGCCTGAATGAGTTGAAGCTCTGGACACGGCACTGGGCGTTTTGACTGTCCCCAGATGTGAGCCACAGACCGCAGGCCGGCTCATTTAAGTGCTTACTGTATGCCAGGCCCCCTCGAGGCTCTCGGATTCGCTCCCGCTGCCGGCTGCTGTCTCCCCTGCACCCCCACCCAGGCCCACCTTTGCCAGAATCCTCCGTGGCCAGGAAGCTTGGGGACCAGCCACCTCCGTGCCTGCTGGGGATTTTCTGCTGCTGGCTCCTTGGTCAGCCAAGGAGCCGGCGGCAGGGAGCCTCTGAGCACAGGGAGGATTTATGTGCAGTGTTTGTCCCCGTCCCCTGGCAGGTCAGCTCTGGGGATCATTTATCAAAGGGGTTTTATGAGGCCTTGAAGTTCACAGCAAAGAGATTGGGGGTGGAGGGGCTGGCGTCTGCAGGAGGGGACCCTGGGCTGCTCGCTCCCGGGGCCTTTGTCGGGTCAGGGGGACAAGGCCAGGTTCCAGGGCACCTGGTTCTGCTCAGTCTGTCCCCAAGCTCTGACCCTTCGCTGTGTCATGCGGCTGTGGTCTTGCAACAAGGCCCGTCCAGCTTATAGGTTTCAGCCGAGTCCCTCCAGGCCCCAGAGGTGAAAGGCCCCTCCTCCACTGAGACCCGGGGGTGGAGGCGGGCGGTCGAATGTGCTGTCTGTGTTTAACGAATTAGCACAACGGGTGTCCACCGGGTGTCCACCGGCTCTGAGCGAGGCCCTGTCCCTCAGACCGTCTCCCCCACCACGCGCACAGGGCCTCCCCTCAGGCCTCCACCTATCCTGTGCCCCACGAGCCAACGGATGCAAAACGCTCAGAGGTCCAAGGCCTCCATAAATCCCAGGGACTTTTTTTTTTATTATTATTAATGGTTCCATTCTTTCCCCCGAGAAGGAGGGGACATCTTTGCCTGTGGCCTGGCATATCTGAGGCTCTTCCTGAGGGTGGCAGAGAACTGCTTGCTCCATTCTTAGGCAAGAAGAAGAGAAGACAGGGAAATAGGGCGGCCAGATGATGAATTCTGTTTTTCTGGTCCCCAGGGAGCCAGAGGCCAGACACGCACACACGGCCTCCCTGGGAGTTGGGGCAGGAGGGACCCGCCAGGGAGGTGACTGGCTCCCGAGAGGGAGGCCAAGGTGCAGGCGCAGCGTGGAGGGGGCAAGAGGGCAACACCCTGGTGAGAAGGGGGAGGCCAAGGTGCAGGCACAGGGTCGTGGGGTGAGGGCAGCCGGGGCAGGTGGAGGCCGGCTTGGAGAGCTGGCTCCCAGGCGTGAGGGACGGAGCCTGGAAGCACTTGGGGTCAGCGCAGTCTGGCTCCCTCGTCCTTGCACGGACTGGACCCCAGCCACGTCCCCGGCCCCGTGAGCCCGGGACAGCGCCAGGCCAGCCTGCTCGGGCTTCGCCCGGGGGAGAGGCGGCAGACGGCTCCTCGGGACAAGTGCTGGGAGCTGGAGGCAACTCGCCGCCGGCCAGGGCACGGCCACAGGCAGCTGCCAGTCTGAGATGCGCCTGGAGGTTCCAGGCTGGTGGCCTCTGGCCTCCTGCAGACTCGAGTGGCCTGTTGTTCCGCTCCCAAGGTGGCGCTGCTGGTGGGCAGTGCGGATGCTCTCTGGGTTCCAGGACCGATGACCCAGCCGTGGGCTGTGGGCAAGGAGGTGGCTCTGCTGGGGACAGGGGCTGAGGCTCCGGCAGCCCTGGGCGGGCACGTATGGACGGCTTCTGTTTGAAAGGGGAGCTGGGTCCACGGTGGCCCGCGTGGCGCTGCAGGGGGCCCTGAGTTTCCATCTCCTCTGGTGTCATCCAGCTGGGTCCCACAGGCCCTGCCAGGTCCTCAGTGCCCTCTGCTGTGAAACTGGGACACACAGAGGAGGAGGTGGGTGAGACTCCAAGTTGTCCCTGTCCCTCAAGCTGGGTTGAGGGGGAAGTAACTTACAGTTAGCAAAACCAGGGGGTCACGTGGACACTCGGCTGGGGCTCCAGACCTAGCTGCACCATGCTGCGTGCTCTTGGGCCAGTGTCTTCCCTTCTCTGTGCCTGGGTTTTTATGCTGGAAACTGGGGGTGTAATAGAACTACCCCATAGGCTTGGGAAGATTTGGGGAGTTGGTGCCTACAACCTCCCATGCCCAGGAGCCAGGCTCCTGTGTGGTTGTCATGTACTGTGCGTTGGGACTGTCATTGCCATACCCAAAGAATGGGCTGCTCCTGGACTCTCTGTTCTTCTTTCCCCAACCCTACAAAGGGTGTTGTTTAGTTGTTCCTGTTTTCCACATGGAGGCTCCGAGAGGTTAAGAAGCAGGCCAAGGCCACACAGCTAGTAAACAGTGGAGCGGGGATGTCAGTCAGATGTGTCTGGCTGGGTCCTGCCCTGTGCCACCCACCCACAGATGACCCACGCCATCACCTGCCTCTCCCTGCCCTTATCTGTGCCAAGGGACTGTTCCCAGTCATTGGGCTGGTGAGGAAAACAAACACCAGCCGCACACTCCCACTCCCCACGCCCAGCCCGTGCACGGGCCCACGCACACACTCACAGCTGCACGTACACGCAAACACATGCACACACACTGCACCCAGCCACACACTTGAACACGTGTGCACACAGCACACACAGGTAGGCATGAGTGCACGCGGAGCACGTGTGAGTGCCACACACTGGTGCTCATGTGCTCCGACATGGCGCACGCTGGCACACACTCAGGAAGCTCTCCCTGCGTGGCCAAGGGAGCCCCGGCTCCTGGTTTTTATCCTGCTGACCCCGTGGCCCTCCTCAGGCTCAGGCGTGACCGTGGTCAGAGTGGCCCCTGGCCCTGGAGTGCCAACAGGCGGCAGAACCTCCTCACTCGTTGTTAGAGCCAGGGAGGGGCAGGACCTGCACTCATGGTCACGGGGAGCCCCAGCCCTGGCCAGGGGGTCATTCTCTACCTCACTTGGTCTACACAGAAAAACTCCACGAGGAGGAATCATGAGCCCATTGCACAGAGAAGAACACTGAGGCTCAGTGAGCCGGGGGTCCGCCCAGGGTGCACAGCCGGCCCATGGTGGACCAGAGCAGCCCTGGACACGCAGTGAGCAAGACAGACCGGTGCTGCCCTCAGGAGGAGCACCCAGGCTCAGGGGGGAGTGCGGGGAGCAGACAGGGAGCGCTGGCAATCCCATGCCCAGGAGCCAGGCCGAGCTAGCAGGGGCCTGCTGGGAGAGGACAGGGAGGCCTTGGGATGATGCTGAGGCCAGGGCCCTGGAGGGGCACAGCCGGGGTTTCCAGAGCCAGCACTGCTTCCCCCAACCTTTCCATCTGTGTGGGACCCGACAGGCCCTTCAACCAGAAGGCGATTAAACAGACGTCACCCTTTAAAGTCCTCCTGATCAGTCCCCCTGGGGTATTAAAAGTGCCAGGAGCCAGGAAGCCCCGCCCGCCTGCATTCCTTCCCACAGCGTGCTGACCCAGCACTTTCCTGGGCCGGGTTGGGGCTGAGCCTCATCCCATCTCAGGCCTGATGGCCTTCCTGTCAGTCCCTGGGCTGGGAGCCCTGGAATATCCACCAGGGATTCCCGGGAGGGGGCCCTTTTGTCTTCTTCCATTTATTTATAATGCATGGGCCTCCTCGTGCCAAGAGGAAGCCCAGTTTTATTTACATGTCAGCACCCCAGAGGGTGGAGGGGCTCACCCGCCACCTTTGTCCCCAGCCGACTCTGGGTTCCAGCTGGCCGGTCAGGACAGTCGTAAACTGCTGGGAAATCAGAGACGCGTTAGATGAGCTGGAGGGCTTTCGTTTCTCAGACGGGAAACGTGAGGTCCAGGGGGGCCCTGATCTGCCCAGGCCTCCAGCCTGATCCGGAGCATCAGGGCCGAGGGCCGACAGGGAGTCCTGGTTGTGTCCCCTGCCGTGGATACTTTCCATGGTGGACTGTGCCTGCCTGGTACAAGCCCGTGGTGGGGGGCAGTGGCTGGAGACGGCCTGCCTGAGTCTGAGTCCCACTGGGTGTCCTCTGAGGAGTAACTGGGCCTACTGCCTCTTCCTTCCCCTCTGGAGAATGGGGCTGCTCAGGCAGGCGATGCAGTTAGTGGGGGGGGGCAGGAAGTGCTTCTACAGTGCAGCGGCCCTAGTCTCCCTGTGTCAAGTACAGTGTACCCCCCCCCCCAAAAAAAAAAAGGTGCAGAGGAACTCTGCTGCAGCTGGTTATCAGGAGGAGGGTAGGGCCCAGAGAGGTGGAGCCTCTTGCCCTGGGCCACCCTTTCCATCTCTGCTGATGACCAGGTGGCCTCTGGCCAGCAGTGTGGAGGGGAGGGGAGTGCGGGTGAGGACTCTGTCCCCAGGATGATGAGTTGCAGGAGACAGGGGACAACTCCTCTCTGTCTACAAAATCAGGGCACTGGCCCCGAGAGGTGCCCCCAACCCAGGGCAGCTCAGGACTCCAAGTGGCTCCCCGTTAGACCAGGGAGGGGACAGGCGGCCCGGAGCTGCCCTTCCTCCGCTGCTCCCGGGCGTCCTTACCTGGCTCCTCCCGCGTCCTGCTTGACCTTTCCTGAAAGACCAGCTTCAGCCGCTGATGGTTTTGGCGGGTCCCCGAGGAGACCCTTCAGACGGCTGGAGCCGCGCGCGCCGGAGAGAGCCCCTAATTGGGGCGATGAATCATCGCGCGCGCTCGGGGCCGGACACAGAATAGATAGAGGAGCCCGCGAGCCATTGTGCGCAGTTTGGGACGCGGGAGGGGGAGGGGAGGAGCGCGGAGGGCTTCCCCCGCCCTCCGCCCGCGCGCCGCCCCGCCTCCTCCTCCCCAATTAAATGACCCAGCGCGTTGGCAGGCGCCGGAGCTCGCACATGCGGCCGCCGCTCCAGCCGCCCGGGGCCCGCCGCCGCCAACGCCGCCGCCGC